GCCCTTGCTCATCCCCTGCATTAAGGATTTTCTTCCCCTCCAGCTTCTCAGCCTCAGCGGTGAGCAGCACACATCCTCTGGTGATGGAGCCTCTGGCAGCATCAGCAGCAAAACAACAGAGCTTGGCAGCAGAACAACCTCTGGGGACCCAGCAAGCCTGAGAGAAGACACTGGGTGGTCAGTAAGAAAAATAGGCAGTCATGAGAAGGATATGGCAAAATATGTTAAATGGTTACATAGTGATGCTCCTGTTTCCTCTGTTTTCAGAAGAAATACACAATTCATTGCAAATTTAAGTATAATACCTGACAAAATAATTTGCCTGCCTGAAAACATTTTACTTACTACAGCTATATTTTTACCTGACTGTTTATGACTGAAGAGATAACAAAAAATACAGTTTCTTTTCAAAAAGATTTAACATAACTTGTCACAAAAACAGTCTCACTGTTTTCTCTCATGTAAGGCAATCTCTTGGAAACAAAATGCAAATAATGACACATGCTTTACTAAGTTAAGTGTTAAACTCACAGGACTGTCCACAATACTTGAGGAGTGCCTGAGACTGAGATCTTGGTGATAAAAAATACAGATAAACAAGAGGAAACATATAACAGAATAGACTGCCCATTTTAAGATAGAAAATATAAGCTATAAAATCAGAAAAACTGGCACAAGAACTTCAAGGGCAGGAGAAGGACTTGATACTACTTTCAGTAAACTTTCTATAAATCTTAATTACAATTATCTGTGTAGATTTTTATGAGAGGAATAAAACCAGGACTTCTGAGAGGTTCAGGAAATAACAAAAGCTCTGCAGTTTTGGAATAAATTTACAGTCAACACAAAATGTTATGATGATACATCTGTGGATGCACAGTATGTAGGAACCAGGTAATCACTCAAATAAAAATCAGAATGACTGAACACCTACAAATTCAAGTTAAGATGAATGGAATTTGACAGAATATGAGAGACCTAATAGCCAGGAGACAATATGAAAATCATAGATATACTTAACAAGGTAGAACCTAAGGCAAACCTTGAGTCAACCAGCTCCACACAACCATGCTCCAGAACTCACAAAGCCATCACGGGCCCTCTGCATTAAGGGTTTCTTTCAAGGATGGTTTCCATAGGTTGTGTTCAGAATCTCCATCTTACTTGTCAGCTAATTGGTTTTTCTTACTGAATATTATTTCTCTTCCCTGAAGCAGTAACGGAAAAAGAGCTCTCCTCCTTCTCTCCTCTGTCTGAATTGGTCTGGTTCTTACCCCGTTAAGTGTTGTGAGTAGATGAGGTTTCTAACATACTGCTGTTTCTTCAGTTTTAAATTTTTTGAAACTTCCTATTCTGTTTGCAACGTAAGCCCACACCTCTTCTACTACATACTGAATAGAATATAGAAATAACAGGTCTTGGGGTTCAGTGTTCCCAAATGGCTTCTAGATCACAAATTTTTAACCAGTCATGTCTATTCTGATTCTTTTCTAGGAAGCTCTGAGCAACAGCAGAGTCACCAGAGCTGCTGACATACAGATTCAGCAGGAAAGTATTTCACCTGGTCATGATCAGAAAGTTATCTTTAACTGACAAGACACCTAAAGTATTTTTATGCCTCTCCCTTTTCTCCCTAAAGGCAGACTAAATGTTCTTCTAGATATGTAGTAACCTGAGTCTGGACAAACATTCATGCCACCATTGCAAATCTCTCACAAGTAATTGACCTCACCATCACTAGTCCTATATACTTATACCTATATTCCTACTAAGGGCTCATGAATCAAACACAATTCCAATTTCTACCCCAGATCATTTATGAGCTGGAATTAAAAAAGGGAAAAAAAAGAGTAAAATTCAAAACGTGAATTAATTCTAACACATCAAATTCACATAGCCTGTTAGCCAAAGATTGAAAGGAGGGAGGGGAGAAATTTTTCATATATGTGGAAAAAATGTATTATATATTTCCATATATATAACATGGAATATTATGAAATATATGTAAGTATATATATTTCCATATATACACATACATATATATACACACAGAAAATATGTCTCTCATATATATATATATATATATATATATGGAAAACAAAACACTTCAGAGGGACAAAATTTGAAGTGTGTGTCCAGACTCACTATGCAAAGGCATCCAATATCTTCAGCCTATTACTTACGTAGCAGGATGCTGATACATATTTTTCCTTTCCATCCCTTTGGCACCACAGTGAATTTTGTTCAGCATATTAGTATTTTTCATAAGCAATGTGATTGCAACACAAGTTCCTGAAGTGTGATACAAATACCACTACTGGCACAAATGCATCTTAGAAGTGCTATAAAGCTTCATACAGTCCAGGAACCTGCTGCTGCTCCCAGCAGTATTGGTACACATCCCTGCCACTGCCAGTGGTAGTTACAGCCTGCGAAGAAACCTGAGAATCTGTGGGCTTTAGTACCCTCATATACGTATTGCTTCCAAGTCTGGAATCTTAAGATTCATTCTTTGAATTTAAAAAGTAGTGCTGTTGCAGTATATTGGTAGCTGAAAAGGCTCTCCCAGACGCCATTCTAACAATACTTGCCAGCAGGTGTCCTTCATGAAGACATAAATCTGAAAGTAAACGAGGGGCGGCACTGTTAGAAAGAACTGGACTTGGGAGCTGTTTTGCCAATTGGCGGGGTTAACACAAAGGACACAGACACCAAGCTAAAGAAATAGGCTTATTTTACTTTAGTTTAAAGCAGCAGAAAGAATAAGCAAGGTAACGCCCCTAGTCATTGCTACATAAAGCTAGCTATAGTGATTAAGAAAGGTACATCACCAGTTGCCCTCCTACTTTACCATCCCCCCGCCCCGAGCATCAGCTGGGGAGCCCCGTCCCAGCGAAGGGTCGCAGAGCCTTTCCCGGCAGCTGGGAAGTCCCACGCAGGGCGCCCGCTCGTAGGGGAGGTCTGCGTCTGTGCTGTGAGAGGGTCTGGCTTTTATACAGTTTAACAAACAAGTCTATACAAAATGCACGGGAGATAGCTGGTAGATTGACGTGCCTCACTCAGGCGTGTCCGGATCTGGCCAGGATCTGGGCACCTCTGAGGAATTTCTGGTTTTCTTTACATGTGGGATTTATAGTTACTTCCTGTTGTTTACTTGTAGTTTTCAGGGATTGTTCCCAGGGTTGCATTTCATGCTGATAAGATGCTGGTTGCTGGTTGGGGGATTCACTCAGAAGTCAACTTTGGTTTGAGGCCTATTGTTTGGGCCTTTTTTGTTTCAGGACCATTTCATAGCTTTTGTAAGGAAGTACCTTAAATCAAAACCCATCTAGTTTCCTAAAACCTGCAAATCATTAGAAAAGCTCTAACCCTAGTTTTCAAATTAATCACACACACAATTTTATATGTTTTATATATTCACAGACATACATATATATTTTTGTATACACACACATATATATACACCCATACAAATGTATATATAAATGTTATTGCTATTCAAACACTTTTATTTTTGCTAAATGATGCTATAAAACACTTTTATTTGGCCAAAAGAGTTACTTTCAGGACCTGGTTCTTAGTGCACTGGATTTAGCTGGGAAAGAGTTTATTTTCTTCACAGGAGCTGATACAGTGCTGTGCTTCAGACTGGTAAGGAAAGCAATATTGGTAACACAACTATGTTTTAGTTGACCAAAGAGATGCCCCATGCCACGTAGCATCTTGTTCAGCAATAAAGCTGTGGTGGGGTGTTTTCCAAGGTTGTTTGACGGCTAAGTGGGCACCGGCCTATTGATGGTGAGCAATTGCTTGTGTATCACTTGGTGGGTTTTTTCCCTCGTTTTTTTTCCCCTTCACTTATTAATCCATCTGTATCTCAACCCACAAGGCTTTATGTTTTTTTTCCTCACTTTTGCCCTTCCGATTCTTTCCCCCATCCCACTGGAGGAAGTGAGTGAGCAGCTGGGTGGGGGCTCACCTGCTTGTTGGGGTCAGCCCATCACTGCTAGGTAAGGATGACACAGGCCAGCAACATGAAGCATCCTCTGCACATGAGGTAATGATGCTGTTTCAGTGTCCCCCACACCTGCAGCTCAAGGAAGTGAGAAATCACAGAGTAGAATAAAATAAAAGGATATCTTGTAGTTTGACTCTGTCCACAAATCAGATGCTCCTAAAACTGTTAGTTATTGACCTGTTTTCGGTACACACCACTGTTGAAAAACTTTTAACATCGCACTGGCTACCTGAATAAACTTTGTCTTGGTGAAGGTATATCATGCGCAGAAACATTCTGTAACACATATCCAGGTCGCTCAAGGTTATTTTTTCATCCTGTACCTTTTCCCTGTTGTGTGTGTATCTTTGACCCACAGACACAGGAGTGGGAAGAAACTTGATTCTCAAGTCCTGCTGCTTGCCGTGAAGGACAGCTATGCCACAGAACCTTACCCATGTATTTATCAAGCTCTGTTTTAAAATGAGGTAAGGCACTAGTCTTTGCTGTTGCTATTGTGAGCCTTGCCTTACTTGAGGACTCTTTGTGCCTTGTTTTGGTAGAAAATATTCTTCGAACAGGAAGAGAAATACACTTACCCTCACATAGGGGCTTGGGGAGGTTTTGTGGTTTTGTTTTGTTAGGGTTTTTTTTATTATTTTTTATTTCCTTTGTCTTCTTTCCTTCTTTTCCTTACCAGGACCCTACTCTTGTGATAACTAGAAAATCCAAGTTGGCTTGTTTCTAGCTACCTGTTATTGTGCACTGTTGCCTACTAGCTTAAGTAACTGCTCTCTTTCCCCATTTCTTATGAGACGCTTCTATTAACACATCCTGAGATATACCTTTTCTCCCCCAAAACCACTGCATTTTGACTCTTGTTCTGTTTATGATGCATTACAAACCAGTTTCTTTTGCGCTGCTGTTCCCTAGTCAGTTATTCCCCATCTTGTATTTACCCCTTTGATGTCCTCCTTTCTGTACGTACTAGTTTTCATTCTCTTTACTAAACTTCCTCTTTTTGACTGAGAACAATCCCCCCGGTTTATCCCGCTGCTTTTCAAATAGCATCCTTTCCCTTCCGAATCTCTTAAACCCCTTCCAGCTTCGGCTCAGCCCTGAGGGGGCGGCCGCGGGGCCTTTCCGCGGCCTACCAGCGGCCTCGCCCCGCGGAGCGGCGGCGGCGGGGCCCGGCCCGTGTCCCCGGGCCCGAGGCGGGGCCGGCGCAGGCAGAACCATGGCGGTGGCGGCGGAGCGGGGTGAGCGCGGCCGGGGGGGCGGCGGCAGCGGCCCGGGCCCCGACACACGGCCGGCCGCGGGGCCCGCAGCGCTGGGCCCGGCTGGCTGAGCTGCGGCTGGGGGCTCGGCGGGGGCCCGCGGGAGGGGGGCGCCGTGCGGGGCGATGAAGGGTGGCATGAGGTGGGTCCTCTCCGTCCCGCAGCCGCCTTCAGGTTCGTGGTGCTGCTCTTCAACTGCCTCCTCACCTTCGGGTCCTACTTCTGCTTTGACATCCCCAGCGTCCTGCAGGAGCAGTTCCAGGGGGTAAGTGCTGGGCATTTGGGCTGCGGACTGGCAGCAGGGAGGGCAAAAAAAGGCAGAACCAGCAAAGCAGAGGCCTTTGTCGCTGGTAGTTTCAAAACCTTTTCTTCTGATGGTCTTACAGGAGTTGTGCTGCAAGGTCTTACATTCCAGATGTGGGGGATGAGGGCTCATTACTGGTGTGATTGCTGTGAAGAAGATGCACGAAGCCAGGGCAGTGATAAAACCATAGAATGGTTTGGGTTGGAAGGGACCTTAAAGCCCCTCCACTCCCACCTCCCTGCCCCGGGCAGGACCCCTTCCCCCAGCCCAGGGGGCTCCCAGCCCCGTCCAACCTGGCCTTGAACCCTTCCAGGGAGGGGGCAGCCACAGCTGCTCTGGGCACCCTGGGCCAGCGCCTCACCCCCCACACAGGGAAGAATTTCTGCCCTAGATCTAAACTAAATCTCCCTTCTTTCAGTTTAAAACCATCACCCCTCATCCTATGCCCACACTCCCAATAAAGAGTCCCTCCCCCCCTTTCCTGTCCCCCCTTTAAGCCCTGGGAGGCCACTTGAAAGTCTCCCCAGAGCAAAGATGGTGAGGGACTCATTATCGGGGAGTGTAGTGGTAGGATGAGGAGTAATGGTTTTAAACTGTAAGAGGGTAGATTTAGATTATATATTGAGAAGAAATTCTTCCCTGTGCAGAGGGTGAGGTGCTGGCCCAGGGTGCCCAGAGCAGCTGTGGCTGCCCCCTCCCTGGAAGGGTTCAAGGCCAGGTTGGACGGGGCTGGGAGCACCCTGGGCTGGGGGAAGGGGGCCCTGCCCGGGGCAGGGGGGTGGAAGTGGATGGTCTTTAAGGTCCCTTCCAACCCAAACCATTTGGTGATTCTGTCATTCTGTGATTAGTGCCTATACTGGACTGGAAGACTAGTGATGTTGGAGATAGGAGATTAGAAAAGACTTTCTGGGCCTTCAGATCCGAAGCTGGTACTGCAGGCATCACATCATGTGTTTGTCTTTAGTCAAAAAACAGCCTTGCAGAGAGATCACAAGAGGACTGGCATATAAAAACCAGTGATATTGTAAAATGCTAGAAAACTTTATTATTCAAGGTTTAGACTGATATCCCAGTTGATTTCTGTGATTTCTCCAGGGTTGCCGGGGTCCCAGAGTTCTTACCTGAATTCCTGACAGATTCTTACTTGACTCATTTATCTGTTGTTACTGCATTTATTTCATGCTTTTTGAGAGGTGTTTTTACTCATGTCTGCCATCTGCTGGTAGATTAGTATGTGTAGGCTAAGAGTCACAGTCCTGTTCTTTGTCTGCTTCAATAGCAAACACAAATATCTATAGCTTGCATGTAACTTTTTGCCTTTTTAAAAATGCGATTAATCCATAACATTCAGGGAGAGAACTCCAGGCTAAACTGGGTGCAGTTTGTCATTGCAAACAGGAGTAAAAAAAAAAAAAAGGTCAGTATTTATTACTTGATCTTCCACAACTTCTGTAGGTCTGTGGGAGAAGACTCATGTATTTATGGAGTAAAGGAAAGGTTATGTCATCTTTTGCTACCTAGGTAACTAGAGGGTAGTGAAACCAAGCCATACTTCTATATGTAAGATACTGTGCAAACAGTGTTTTTATGTGTCAACGCTGTCATCATATTTTTACTCTGGTGAATTTAGCCTCTACTTACGTTACACAGGTTGTACAGTGGTAGTCAGAACATCTAAGGCCAGTGCAGTGAAAACATTTCATTGTAGAGAATTGTTTCCCTGCAACCTCAGACAGTTCCCTACATGGGTTTGTAAATATGATGGCAATATAAAAATCATGTGGTTAAAATAACACTTTCCTTGTTCTTATTGAAGATGTTAAGCTTCTGCCTACTGGTGTGGAAGACCTAACACCCATTTCCTAATGCAGGTAGATTTTTAGTAGTTGGAAGATCTAGGGTTTTCTCCTGATCAGATGGTGTTGAGATGATGTTGCTTTTCAATAGCAAAAACGATGTTATTAAATCATGCTAGGACTGCCAGTTTCCTGCTGTTCAGAAAATGCTTTCTAGCTGTGAATTAATATGGACGACTGCTAAGTTTCCTATATACACACTGCTTAAGACTTTGTAGTATGTAATGAAGAGTCAGATCAAAGTAAACTATAGCCAAGAAACTAAGGGATCAAATAAACCTTCTGGTGCAGTCTCCTGGCTTTTTTTTTAGACTGAAATGTGTGTAAAAGTGCCGAGCCCCTGCCTCTACTGCCACAGAAAGGGAAAGGGAAGATGTGACATGCCGATGGCTGGTCATTTCTCATTTGGCAAGGGCTGGCTTCCTGGGAGAAGACACAGGTACCCTAATTCCTGGTTGTGGAAGTGGGAACTGAGTAGGAGAAATAGAAATCTAGTAGGCAAGAACTTAATTTTTAAAGGAATGTGTGGGTTAGTCATCTGTGTCTGCTGCCTAACACAGGCTCTGTGACTTGTTTTGTAGAACTTGTCCTGCCCCAATGGAACCCATCACAACAGCACTGGGCATAATAGCACGCGGGTCTGTGTTGAAGGTTTGGGAATGACACCTGCACAATACAATTTGCTGTATGCGATCTATGCTTGGACGTAAGCCACTTTTCTCTTGCTTTGGGGGGGTGGGGTGGTTTGCTAGTTGCTTCTCAGCAGTGACACAAATGTTTCTGTTCTTGTTTTCTCCTAGAAATGCAGTGGTGGTTATTCTGGCTGGATTCCTGATTGATAAACTAGGAAATCGCTGTAAGTTCTGAGGATTCATTTATTTATTCCTGTAGTGAAGTGGGATTTCAGGCTGCTCTTTCAGTGCAAAGGGATGATCAAAGGTTCCACTTCAGTAAGATAACAGAGGGGAGAGGAGGGACAGCTCTGTGTGCACTGTGTGATGCTTAGTTGATCAGCTCCATGAAGGCAACTGAGACGTTTTCATCCTTTGACCCCTGACTTACCCAAATTTACACAGTGGTGCAGTAAACGTGCTTTTTTCTGGCATGCATGTAACGGGGAATAGTGATATCTGTTTTCGATGGGACAGACTGATAAAATAGTGTTCTGTTCTGGTGTGTGCCATGACCTAAGACCCAGCAGTCCCAGCAAATGCAGTTATGCTCTGTCTCTGTACAGGTAAATATCTTACAGATGAGGAGAGGGAGATCACTTGCTCGAGGCCATAGTCTGTAGTGGAACTAAGGACAGGAAGAGGGAATCTATAATAGAGTTCAGAGTCCTCTATCTGACTTATTCTGTCTCTCTAGCCTTCCACCATGATAATATCATCATTATTTTGAGAATTCATGGGTCATTTTATAAAGACACCAGTCTTTACAAAATTAAAACAATGAGAGTAAACTGATGGGAACCCACAGGTTTATTGGTGTGTCTTGCAGTTGCTCTTTTGCTTTTTGTCTAAGAATGTTTTTGTCCTGATCTCAGCATGTATGTTAAGGTTTGTGTAATTTTTTTCTGTTTCTCCCTAGTTGGTGTCTTTGTTTTCTCTCTTATGACTGTGCTGGGATCATCAGTCTTTGCTGTAGGATCACATTTCAAGGGGTCACCATACCTCCTACCAATGATGCTAACAGGAAGACTGATCTTTGGCTCTGGGAATGGGTCACTTACTAGTAAGGAATTCACATTCTTAATTATGCCTTACCAGAGGGTTGTGATACATATTTATTTTGTCTCGTAGACCCTTGTCCCAACTTCACCTGCTCTGCACCAGGAACCTACATTGCTAAGAGAAGAGCACTGCTCCTTGAAGGGTGGCATGGATTTAATGTGTGCTTAAATGTTTAAGAGTCTTTCCCTCTAACAAGTTTGTCCTTCTCCCAATGGTGGGGACTGACATGTGATTGCTATGCCTTTGGGGTTATTTTTGCTTGCCTTAGTTGAGGAATTAAGTTCACCTCCCACGTCCCAGCATGATTTAGTATGTTTTAAAATGGACTGCGAGGTTGACATGTACTACCTCCAGTTGGGGTGTATAGAGGTCTCTTATCCTAGCTCAAGTACTCTAGCTTGAGAGGTTGTCTTTGTTGCTTCTGTGCAATGTTCTTGGCCACAAGGATTACTGTCTTCTCCAAGTTGTGCAGAATCGTATCACAGCCTTCTGGTTCAAGGGGAAAGAACTGGCACTGGCATTTGGACTGACTCTGTCTTTCTCACGTCTTGGGAGTGTCCTCAACTTCTTCTTCACCCAGCAGTTTGAGGCAAAATTTGGAATGCAGTGGACACTCTGGGGAGGTGAGATTCTTTGGTGCTGTGGCATTTTGTTTTCTAGACCTGAGGCTAGCCTGTTTTGTCCTCTTATGGAAAGTACCTGAAAGAGATAGTAAATTTAGCAGGAGGAGGCACATTATTTTCCTGTTCTTCCTGTTGCTTTATGTATGCAATGGAGTGGTGTTTTCTTCATTGATGCCTGAAAACCCTCTCTAAAGCTGTAGTGTCAGCCTGACAGTTTTGTCTGCTGCTTTCTTGAGATATTTTAACATAGAATCATAGAATCGTTTGGGTTGGAAGGGACCTTAAAGATCATCTGGGTTCAACCCCCCTGCCCTGGGCAGGACCCCTTCCCCCAGCCCAGGGTGCTCCCAGCCCCGTCCAACCTGGCCTTGAACCCTTCCAGGTTGGGGGCAGCCACAGCTGCTCTGGGCACCCTGGGCCAGCGCCTCACCCCCCGCACAGGGAAGAATTTCTTCCTTCTATCTCATCTAAATCTCCCCTCTTTCAGTTTAAAACCATTACCCCTCATCCTAGTCCCACATCCCCTGATCCAGAGTCCCTCCCCACCTCTCCTGCCCCCCCTTTAAGCCCTGGGAGGCCGCTCGAAGGGCTCCCCGGAGCCTTCTCTTCTCCAGGCTGACCCCCCCCAACTCTCTCAGCCCGGCCCCCCAGGGGAGCTGCTCCAGCCCCCCCAGCATCTCCGTGGCCTCCTCTGGCCCCGCTCGAGCAGCTCCGTGTCCTTCTGCTGTTGGGGGCCCCCGAGCTGGCCCCAGCACTGCAGGGGGGTCTCCCCAGAGCGGAGCAGAGGGGGACAATCCCCTCCCTGGCCCTGCTGCCCCCCCTGCTCTGGCTGCAGCCCAGGGCACGGGTGGGTTCTGGGCTGCGAGCCCACGGTGCTGCCTCACAGGCAGTTTTCCATCCCCTAATACCCTCAGGTCCTTCTCCACAGGGCTGCTCTCCAGCCACTTCTTGCCCAGTGAGGGGGATTGCCCCGACCCATGTGCAAGCATTTGCACTTGGCCTCCTTGAACCCCATGAGGTTTGCCCAGGCCCCCCTCTCCAGCCTGCCCAGGTCCCTCTGGATGCCATCCCTGCCCTCCCGCGTGTCACTGCAGCACACAGCTCAGTGTCATCGCTGAACTTGCTGAGGGTGCACTTGATCCCCCTGTCCATGTCACCAGAAAAAGTGCTAAGCACTTCTGGCCCCAACACCGACCCCTGAGGAACACCACTCTGCAGTCACAGATAGTTAGTACTTAATGTAGGTTTACTCCTTGGGGAATCTAATGTATTTGTTCCTCTGTGTTTTAGCTAGCAGAACATGCTGGTTCTGTAGTGGTGCCTGTATTGGGCTCAGCATAAGATGCCTTGCACATGGACGGGTCAAAACTGTGGCTTTAAATTACTGTGAGAAGCAGAACCTGAATTACGTGTTTCTTAGTGTGAATCTGTTCTAGGGCTCATAGTTTCTGTCCTCTCTTCCGTGCAGTGAGATGGGATCTGTCTCTAGTGGAAGGGGTGATGTGTTTCACAGTGCAGTTAAGTGGTGGCACTCAGGAACTCCTGTGTGCTGGAAGGGTGATGTTAGGGAGACCTGCCTCAGGCCATTCTTTGTGTACAAAGACTCGGTGACTATAGAAAGTGTTATTTCTCAAACAACAAAACAATGTGGCCCATCACCTGTGGAAAAGAGGATGCATATGTGTGATAAATATGCAGAAATTGAACCCCCCTGACTCCAGCTCTCAGAGAAGAAAGGGGCATGGTTTGTTGCATCCTATCTGACACCATTAGTTTTGTGCTCAGGCAGCATTTGCAAGCACAGTGACTTCAGTAGTCCATGAAGGGATAAATACCTCAGACGAAGTGTGTATGCATCACAGAGATTGTTTTGACTCTCTGGAAAACAAAACAGATACAGATCTCTTTCTGAGAGAAGGGTATCTGCAGCAGATGCCCATTGCCAGACTTGCTTCTGGCATAGCCAGCATAATCTGACCCACTCCTGTGGAGCTGAGTGTGCTAACAGGTCAGATTGCTGTAGTAACTGCGGTAGGTCCCATAAATGAAGAGGTATAACTTGGCTTCCAGTACCAGCTCATGTGTGATACCTCCCCTGCTAAGGGGACTGTGGAAGTTTCTTAATGCTTGTTTTAACCTTGGGTTTGTTACGCACAGGCAAAGTGACTTTCTTTAGAGTCAAGTGGGGCTTTAGGTTCACTGGCCTCAGGCAATTCTGCAGGGCATTGGAAGATTAGTGAGCAAAGAGCTCAAGGACTCTGACAGGGTGGTAAGAGTTAAATGGTCCCACTACATGGCTGCAGTAGGGAAGGCGGTGAATGTTAAGAGAAGCCAGGAGTAGGAGTTAGAGAGAATTCTGCATATGACATGCAGTTTTGTCATTCAGCTCTCTCTGCTCTAAGGAATTTCTAATACCTCTTGTGTATTTTCCAGGTACCCTGCTCTGTGTGCTTGGTTTTGTTTCAGCCCTCACAGTCAGTGTACTGGATAAAGTGGGCATGAAGCAACTGGGCTTGGATGGGGTTATCCAGCAAGAATCCAAAAAAGTGGTATGTGGTGCACAAACACCTTTTCCATCTCAATCTTTGAGAGCCTGGGGTGCATGAGCACAGTTTTTGCAGTGCAGGGAAGCCTGCAGTAGTAAGAGCTGGTCCTGGCCAGAAGATGGCATTAACACTGCTTGGTTAAATCTCACAGAGCAGTTCTTCAGATACGTGAGGATATTGCATCTGCAAGCTACCAGAAAAATGTAAATTTTCTGTTCAGAGACTACGTATTTGCAGCCTTCCAGAGAGCTGAGTTAGCACTCTCAATGGTATTACCTTTCTGGGCCAGTTACTTCTTGACTGTAGGTGGCTCAGAGGAGGATTTTGTGCATAAAATTAGATAGCAGTTTCTCTCTGGAACTGCTGTCTAGCTCACAGGATCTGTGATTGACAGAAAACAGCTAATCTGGTCAGTACTGAACTGGTTTTTGTCAGCCCTTCTCTTCCATTCTTCCTTGCAGTCTTCTGTGTAGGAGCAAGCATTACAAGCAATAGGTCGCAATTTTTATGGCACTTAAATCTATTAGACAGCTTCTTTCTTGTGACAGTATTCTTACAGATTTCTCTATCTCAGTGTTGTGACTCCTATTTATATTGTGTATTTCCACTGTATTTCACTTAAGGTTTTGCAGTAGGCTCTTAATAGAGCCTGCTTAGAATAGTCTCTTGCAGACATAACCTTTATAAAAATTAGAAGAAAGCCTTTTTGTTTTCTTTACTGAAGAGTGTTAAAGAAGAAATGCTCTGAAGTCAGCACATGACAAATTTCGCTTAGAGGTACATGAGCTGCCTTTCAATTCCCTTTTACTTGCTGTTACGTAAATTTTTTGTGACCTTCAATGGCTTGCAGAAAGTGACATTAATGTGAAGTTGAAGACTACTTCCTGGTGAGTGAGGTCACGTCTTATCTTTGCAGCGGATTCAGGACATCCAGCAACTTCCCCTTTGCTACTGGCGCCTGGTCCTTACCATCATGTTCTTCTACAATGGAGTCTTCCCCTTCGTCGCAGACGCCAGGTATTGCTCTGTGGCTGTAGTCCCACTGACTGATACATGCCTGTCGGAGCCTTGCAGGCCCTCAGATCTTTTGTTGATTGGGAAATATGGGGGGGTGGGATAGGGAAATACACTGTTCCTTCCACTCATGAAACACAAGAGAAACATGTCTTTAACACCTAGTTAAAGATAGGAGGGTTCTTTGACCTTTCTTTCCCTTCAGTGATGAGGATGGCTTCTGAAGGAAAGCAAAAATAACTTAAAGGGAAATAATTAATCCAATATTTAAAGCTTGGGACACAGCCAAAGGAGGATCAGAAGGATTTGGGAGAAGGGGAAGAAATACTTTATTTTAAAAATAGCCTGTAGACATTCCACCTTTGTGATAGTCCAACAAAGTGGCTGTCTTTTGAGCTGGGTGGGGTGTTAGCTTCACAGGCCTGGGGCAGTTCTGTCCTGAAGTTTCTGCATGTTGTCTGCTGTGTATGGAACAAAGCTAAGCTTGCGTCAGCCTGGGTTTGTGAGCGAGGAAGCCTTTGAATCCCAGTGCAAGGCTTGCAGACTTCCTTTTTTATCCCTTCATTTGCTTAAAACAAGGAAGCAACCTACCGAGCTAAATTGGGTCTCCTGCTTCTGTCCTGTGGCACCGCTACAGACTTGTCATTTTGCTGCTTTTTTCCTGTTTGTGGATGATACAGCTTCTATCACCTAATGAATATAAACTTTTATATTAGCAAAGTCCTGAAGTAAAAAATAAAATTATTTTGGTACTGTTTCATAAGTGATGTATAGTAAGCCACTGTGAAATCAAGAGTGAAAAGATGTTATCAACATTGTCATAATAAATGTAGAAATGTCCTTTTATTAGTAAAATAAAGACATTCAAGATGGCAAGGATCGTCAAGGGCTTGATGAGATGGGCTTTCTATCAGTTGCCCTCTCATTTTAACTGAAAACAGTGTCTGTTGATCACACAGAATCCTCATTTCTGCAATCCTGCCTCCCTGCAGAGTTTGGTTTTTTTGCTCCCTATGAAGCAAAAGTTCTTTCATACATCTTGTCTGTCAAAAAAATGCTATGCTGCTTCCCTGTTGCAAAAGTAATAGTCCCAAGGCCACTGCTCTTTGGCAGATTCTCTTGCAGTAAATCTTCAGGGAACAGTGTCTTGTTTCATACTTCACTGACAGCATAGGCTATAAAGGCTCATTATTACTAATGGCAAGTAGCGAAACCAGGTTTAAGTAGCTACAACACCTCTAAGTAAACTAGTCTTTCTAAGCTGTTACAACTGTAAGACTGTAAATTCTGTAAAGAATTCTAGTAAGTTTTAATGCCCTTTCTGCGTGTCCTTAACAAAGGCTGACCTCTGACAATGAAAACAAAACTTGGTTTGCATGTTTTCTGGTTTAACCAGGTCTCCTTAAAGATGCCAAGGGGGAATTCCTAGTACTTCTGAAATGCAGGTGTTCACTTTAAATGCTGATCTTTGCTGCTAGATTATTCTAAAATATTTTTCTTGCCCTTCAGCATTCTCACCCTTGGATTGGTAATGCTTTCTGCCTCTTCAAAGAGATTTTAAAATAATCCATCCATATTGCTTGTGAGCTGTGCTGATGTAATTGAACATATGCCTGACTTTAACCTGCAGTTTTACTCTGCACTTGCAGAAGCTTCTTGAAAGTGACCATTTAAGCTATCAGCTTGTCTATGGTGTGCACCAGTTAAAAAGAAAATAAACCATCAAACGCTTAGTATTACAAATGAGATGGAATCAAACTTGTTTACAAGGCCTCTCATTAAACCCTTCCTGTCCATATGTTTGTGCTCAGACTTACTTTCTGTCAAAATAACCAGATCAAGAATCGTAATTATGTAATTTTTCTCCCCTTTCATTTTATTTTTAGCAAGTTTATCCAGGATAAATATTCTGGTTACAGTCAGCAGGCAGCCGCTTATATTGCTGGGGCAGTGTATGACAGCTCCCTTGTTCTCTCTGCAACAGTTGGCATATTAATTGTGAGTACCCAAAACCAGAAGTGCTTGCTGATAACTTTTTCCTAAGTTTTTGAAATGTGTTTGCTACAACCCTCTCAACCAGAATTTAGTCTGTTGTTGCTGAATAAGCAGTCCTTTAATTCCTGCAAACTGCAAGATGCACTAGTCTGAATTAAATTACAAGAAATAATGTTAACCTGGTTTCCCCTCTGCTCCTTCATTGTGCTATGGTAGCATCAAACCACAGCAAATGGGTGTGTGTTTTGAGAAATCTGAGACTGGAACAGAATGGATCAGGATCAGCTTTGCAAGTGGATGGGAAAGGACAACCTGCGAGTAATCAGTCCCAGTTTTGTCAAACTCTTCCTTTCCTTATTTATGTAAATGTCAGGGCATAATGGTGTGTTTGCTTCCACCTGCCCTTTATTAAAGCCTGCCATTTCACATGAATACTGGACACTGATTCTCTGACAAGGGTCTCAGTCTCAGTTTAGAAGTATGCAAGAGGAACTGGTAATAGCTAGTCTGCTACAATATCAACAACTAGGAAATGACATGTTGTTGTCCCTCATGCCAGCCCACTTTGCACAGCTGCTTGCGTCACTGGGATCTGTGGGAAGCAAGGATCCCTTGTATGAGGCCTTCTGTTTGTTACCTCTGCCAGGACTGTGTTGGACTGAGGGGCATCTTCGCTGTTGGCTGTGCTGCATTGACTCTGCCAGTCTTCGCTCTCCTGGCATTTACGTTTGTTCCTCCGTTAGTCTCCACCATCTGGTTGGGGATTACTTACTCCTTTGCTGCTGTAAGTTCACAACCTTACCGCTGTAGTTGAGTGTTTTGTGGCTGTGCTCCTTCTGCCTCTGGGACGGCACACACCACTGCCCTTCTGTCCTGATGAGCAGCCTTCGCTGCCAGTCTGACCAGAGTCTTCAGCCCCAGTCCTGAAGACTTTTGTGAGTAACAAATAACCCCAAAGGATCAATATGGAGCAAGATGCAAAGCAGAGTAGGGAACCATTTCATATAGGGTAAAGCATTAATCTGTCTATGCTTTTCTTAGTGCTTTTTTACCTTGAATGTAACACCTAAATCTCCTTTGAGTCTTATTGGTTAAATTATCAGGTCTCACTGCCCTTCAGAAATCTGGAGTCAGGTTATTCCTGTTTCAGGTAACACGGGTTGTCTGTGCTGTCTCAAGCTGATTGAAAAGCATGGGGAGTAGTCTAGAACCAACCAATAGGCTGGAAAGGATAAAAGATTTTTTTAAGAGAAAGTATAAATGTTTATTTAGTGGGAATTTTGTTTTAAACCAGTGACCAGCTAACACCTTTAAATAAGGCTTTGAGTTAATCGCTTTTCTCATTACTCCTGCCAGGCTAGTATGTGGCCATCTATACCTCTTGTGGTCCCCCAAGCAACTTTAGGGACAGCTATGGGGCTTGCAACTTCTGTGCAGATGATTGGAGTTGGCCTTTCAAATCTGATTGTTTGACACATTCTAGGAACGAAGTCCAGGTGAGAATGCTTTTTCTGTTTTTCAAGCAGACATCAACAGTGCTTTAGTGGAGCAGTGTGAACAGAAATCAGTGCCTTTGCAACCTGATGCTACAAGGAAGTATAGAGGTGCCTTAGGTATCTTAAGTGACTAGTTGCTCTATTCTGTTTTGGCCTTTTCTAGTGAATTAAAGATCCCCCTGTGGCGCTGGCAACAGATGATGATCTTTATGTTGGCAAACACTATTGCATGCCTTGTTGCCTCGATTAGCCTCAATGTTGTGGACAAGAAACAGGTAAGTGTGATAAAAGGTGAAAAATAACCTTGCATCACCGAGTTACTTTTATTGATGTAATAGCTGCTGGGTGTGTATATAAGTAATTTCCCTGATATAAAAATGGGACTGCAGAAAAAGAGAACTATTTGCTAAAATATTGATGCAGTGCACAGTAGTCTTACCTAGTATCAAGCTATTGGCAGCTGTATTTTTTTGCAAGAAGGGGAGGGGAGGGGCCACGACACAGCCTTAGCAATGTACAGAAAGAACAGTATCCTTTCTGTCATTAATTGCTGCTTTGAATTTCTAGGGTGGCACACTGAACAGAACAAGAAAGGGAGCACCTGTGGAGCAGGACAGAGGCCCTGCAGATGCAGCACCACTCCTTGATGATGAAACACAAAATGATGGCTCTCTCAGCTGAACCTGTGCAGTGTGAGAACAATGACAGCTGCCAGACACAGCACTGATCGCTTCTGTTTGAAAGGGGGTTTTTAGCCTGTGTAGTTTAAACATCTTTAAAGAGAATCTTGAAGGGAATTGTCTACAGAAAGGGAACGTTTCCACTTTCTTATGCCTGGTACACAAGTGAAGTGTGTCTGCTGCATGGTTCTTAGGCATTCTCCAACATACAGAAACCTGCGTGAGGCACTTTAATAACTACACTACAGTAAGTGAAAGTATCCGAGCCTGTTGAGAAGCCATTAGATAGCTGCTTTTCCAGCTTGCATCAAAACTGCCTGTGCAAGGTGTGCCTGCCTGGTCCACCACTGTTTCCCCATCACAAGGATCCTGTATGTCAGCACTTGATAATCCACGTGCCTTGGTCGGCCTCCTGCTTCAGTTACTGCTCTGGATTAGCATGCGTCCTTCACAAATTACATATCCATGCAAGTGACACCATCATTATTCTTTGGGCAGGAGACTGAATTAATCAAGTTGATTACCTTTTGCACACAAGCCTAGCTTAATTGCTTATTACTTTAATAGAAATGCTTCTGTAAGCCATGCCTATTCATTTGCCTTCAAAAGCATAAAAGGTTTTGATCTGAAATCCTGTCCTTTAAACCAGGGTGCTCTTACTCATAAATGCTAGAGGCTTATTTGACTCGGTCATCTGCCCTTCTCACTACGCAAAATGCTGACAAACACTCCCCCAGTGTTTACAAAAGCACAAAGGATGCTTCAAGAATGAGGTAAACTTTAACATAGCCAAGGACAAGGAATGTTGAAGTGAATGACTTACGTAAATTATTACAAATTCTACAGGGAAAGAGCAGCTCTGCTCAAGTTGCATTTAATATAAACACTAGTAGATTGAAAGCGATTTAGGCACTGACAGCATCCAGTATAGTCACATTTTCAGTAGATGTCACAGAAGACAAATCCACCCACGAGTGCAACATTTTCTTAAACTGATTTACTGAAGAGAATGCATTCAGAGAGCAAGGTCGCCCAAGTTTTAAGTTACACTGTGAATTCATTTCACACCAGGGACAATTAAAGGATTTCCCCGTTGGAGTCTGGTACAGCAGAAATTTGGGTGTGGGATGGTAAGTCACAGAACTGCAAAATCAGAGACTCCTTTAGTTTGGTGGCGACCTCCTGAGATCACTTAGTCCAGCACCCCGTGCTCAAGCAGGATCAGCCAGAGCCGGTTGTCCAGGGCCGCATCCAGTCAGAGTTTGAGCGTGTCCACAGATGGAGATGCTGCCACCTCTCTGGGCAACCTGTGCCAGCATTTGCCTGCCCTCACAGTGAGAAAGTGCTTCCTCGTGTTCAAATGGAATTCCACGTGGTTTAATTTGTGCCCATTGCCTCTTGCCCAGAGAAGAGTCTGGCTCCCTCGTCCTCGCCCCCTCCCAGCAGGTACTTAACACCCTGGTAAGATCTCCCTGAGCCTTCTCTTCTCGGGGCTGAACAGCCCCAGCTCTCTCAGCCTCTCCTCTTGAGAGATGCTCCAGGCCATTGACAGCCTTTGTGGCCTATCCCTGCACTCCCTCCCTAAGTCACCTCTCTTACACTAGGGAGCCCAAAACTGGGCTTGGGAGTCCATGTGAGGCCTCACCAGCATTTGCAGTCAGCTGGTAAATCAGACTCCTGCCAGACCTTGGCTTTAAGTACGCCCCTCAGCCTAGTCACTGTGCTACTCCTCAGTGCTGAAATCCTGCAGATGCATTTTCTTTTCATAGTGGGAAAATCCCATGGTGAATTCCCAAATGTGATATGAAAAACCACATGCAGCAGTACTGTATACTCGCGTTGGAGGCTTGCATACAGAGGAAAGTACGCGTTCAACAGAGCTCATTTTTTGTGTCAATACTACCAACACCTGGCTTAAAAGCAGTGACTACAGCCTGGCTGGCAGGAAGTCATCACCTTGCTCAGTTTATATACCGTATGACGCTGCAGCAGCTAAAGTCCCTGGGGTTGGTCCTGTGAGGAGTGCTGGGATAACCCCTTAAACTCCTGTACTTGGTTCTTCACGGAAGAAGCTCAAAAGCGTATTTGCTATCCCATAATCTACTTCCAAATTACCAGAAGATAATCTTACTTCCTCTGGTTTGAAGAAGAGTTGTGACATTACTTTCCCTAAAATCTGCCACTGATTAACAAGGTTCCTGCCAGTGCGGCGCTGGAAGTCTCCCTGCCGCCTCGGCTAGGTTTCACCGTGGAGCTTTCCTGCCCGTCTCCTACATTCACCAGCAATAAGAACTTCCGTTGACTCCAGGTGGTTTTGTAGGTACCATTGTACAAAGATACCTCTGTGTGCTTTTAAAAACCCTTTCATATCATCTGAAGACGTGGGGAGATTCTAGTGACCTTTGAGTCTCTTGTACCAAGACCACCTTTGTGTTGGGAAGATTCCACTGGAGCCGCTGCTGGGCAAAGAGTTTTTCTTAAAAGACTGTTTATGTCTTTCAGCTCAGCTGAGTAAAGCTTGAGCTGATGTAACAACAGTAAGGAGGCCGAGAATGGGCCTTCCTGCAGCAGCACCTGCTCATCCCCAGTGGAGTTCATCAGTGTCCTGTTACTCCTGTTTAACTGCTATTTTCATTAATTACTCCACTGATGACAGGAAAGCCACCTTCAGCTTTGTCTGTCTTCCCAATTCGTGCTTGTCCCCTGCTGTTGAGATGCCAGAGCTCACTTCTAAGAAACTTTTTACAAAGTAATTGCATGGTGCTCTACTTTGTTTAAGCTTGTCATGAAAACAAAAGGGTGGCATTCACAAAGATCAGTGTGCAGCAAGAAACAATCGGCTGGTTTTAATTTTTGCAGTGTTCCACTGATCATACAGGTAACTAAAACCCCCACCCCCCACCTTCTCTCTAGAAATGGTGAGCTCTTTTCAACAATATTTGGCAGAACCTTCCTTTTGCATAAGACACAGTGGACTGCAACTTGTGAAATATAAAACTGTGAAACTTGGAAGTGGACATCAGTTCGGGCAAGTCACATTGAGGTGGATTTTTTTTCTTTTCTCTCATCATAATCCAGAGTGTGCTCTCGAAAACCAGAACGTGAAACACTGGTACACAGCGGAGCACGTTTTTATGTAAGTTTGTGGAAGGTGGCAGTGGAGGAAGAACCATCATCTTTATGAAAAAACGGGCACAACATCAAGTTCTCTGTTACTTCTGATAGACCTCTGTGCTTCTGATACACATCGAGGCAGAGCCGTGTGTGTTTTTGGCTAAAGCAGCATACACCCAGCATGGGAGGGATAACTGGGAAGGGAAAGGCAGCAGAGCTACTATTTAAAATATACGTATATGTAGGAGGGAGGAGGAAAATAGTAGGGTAAGAGACAGAATTAGAAGCTGGCTGGAGCTCGAGGGTTACGGGCAAACACATTACTGTGTTCTTGCTGGTTGTGGCCAGCACTTTGACCTGCTTGAGGAAGAGGAGGTCCTGTTACCAGTACGAGTTCCAGCTTTAAAGAAAGGGAAAGTTAGATTCAAGAGCAGATAGTCTTCATCCCCAGAAGCAAGATAAAAACAGTAAAAGTAATCCAGGCTGTAAATTTAGCACAATAATTAAAAACTGCTCTTTCTGCCCATTGACTGTGTCTTCAGGGGGAGGACCAAGCAGCAGTTGGGCTGGCAGCCCGGACATCCAGCTTCATCTGCCGCCTGTTTGTGGGGGTTCTGTGCATCAGTCCTTGGCCAGCAATAAATCATTACCCAGTCTACTTCTTGCACAGCTCATAACAAGTAATGACATAAATGACTTATGTGCCAAAGTCTCTCTATAATCCTGCCCTCTGTTACCAGCAGAGCGCCTACGCTCACAGAGGTCGGTATCCTTTTGCTTTCTCTAGTCTAGCACAGCAGAGCATCCTGGTTACGACGCTACTTCATTGCTCAAGAAAACCAATGGAAAACTTCAGCCTCAATATTCTTAACCGTCACCTTTTCCAAAGGGAATTAATAAAGGATTTCAGCAGAGCTTCAGGCTGGAATTCAGTAACAGACATGTCAGCGGGCTTGAACAAAATGCCGGATGGGCAGCTGGCCTCCCGGCTGTGAAGATGCAAGTGGACAACTGAGCACACTCCACACGTTGACAGGCAATCACCATGCTGTCCTCTGCTACGTGATCACACAGGCAGCCAGGGTTCTCAGGTGTCCACGCACCAGTGTGGCCACACTATACATAAGCAAATGTGAGAATTTTTCAGGGAACATATCACAACAGTTACTCATTTAAAATTAAAACTTAAATATTTGTCTCCACACAACACTACGTATGTTCTCTCACTAGACAAGCCCCAAGAATGCACTTTAGATACCCCAAGCCTGATTAACCTCTATAAATCCTTCAAAACAACCACAGTAATGCTACTTAAAACACAGAGAAAGACATTCATCTTCCTCATTAGGAGTGCAAAGTGGGCTGTTTATCAATGGTGAGGCAGCGATGTAACAGAAGAACGGTATCAGACAGCGCTTGCTTACAAGGTATTGCATGGAAGCCAGCAGTCTTAGTAGGGGAAAACATGCCCCGCTGTGGCTGACTCGGCCTCACGGGGGGTCGGGAGGGATGACACACGGCAGCCGAGCTGTTGATTAGGACAGTGCTGTCCTGTACTGGCCAGGCAGAGTGACATATTTAGGAACTAAGCAGCAGCTCTGCCTAGAATTGTACACATGGCTGATGAAAGCATGCAAATCACCAATTCACCACTTTCCAAGCTAAGCTTATTACAACAGATACAATAATTTTCCTTCCAAGACTGAAAAAGTGACCTGGATACTATTCTATCCTAAGTGTTTAAGCTCCAGACCTTCAATTTAGGGGCAAACCAATGAGGTAACGTGCAGACTTGCAAAGTGAAAATATACTGTAGTGTACTAGTTGGAAGAGTTCAAAGGAATGACAGTCCTTTGTTGCTAGTGTGTTATCAAGGATATCCACAAGTTCCCACACTAAGCAGATTCTACCCAAAGCATTGTGTGTGCTTGAGGGGAGTTCTGAACTACAAATGGCAGAACTCCCAGTGCAAAATAGAGAGGTCACTGCAGAAACAAATGCTGGCCGAGAGGCTCTGCAGGGCACCGCAATCTGCAAATTAAGGAACGAAGCAGCAAATTTAGAGCACCCTGGCTGAGAGGCCACCATGTCCAACTCACCCAGAACTGGAATTTCTGCAGCTGTAGTTACCACCACTCTGTCAGCCAAGACAGTTTGGCACAAGGAGATTTTTATGCACCCACCAGAAGTGTAGAAGTGGGGGTACAACTTTTCCACATAAAGAGCATCCCCTGCTCAAGGGGAATTACTACATTATTCTACAAATAGACTTAAACATTTACAATATTTGAATATTTAAGTCTATTTACAATCTTGATGAAGAGCATAACAGCATCCTTGCATTGTACAGAACACCATGGAACGTTGCCCACAAAAAGGCATTGACCTGAACCGCCTGCCCTTGCTACCATCCCTTCACACTCCCCAGGGGTAAGAGGTGCTTGTCTCATGGGCGATCCTGAGCAGGGTGTCCCATCTCCATACTTCCCAGTACAGAAAGTCTGAAAATATTGGTGCAGTTTTTCCAATTTCAGACAACAAAATTCACCAATGTATCTACATAGAA